TAGATCTGCACAACTAAGAGATGAGTTCCTTTAGATTTTAAAAACAAAGTTTTATCAATTTTTCCTCGTTTAAAATCATTTTCCAAAAGGAACTTGGACAGTCTTCCGTACCATGCTCTTGGAGCCTGTTTTAGCCCGTAGAGAGCCTTATCAAGTTTAAAAACATGGTTTGGAAAATTTAGATTCTCGAATCCAGGGGGTTGATCGACGTAAACTGTTTCTTTTAATAAACCATTCAAAAACGCACACTTTACGTCCATCTGATACAGTTTAAAACCCATAAAAGCAGCAAAAGATATTAAAATTCTAATAGCCTCAAGTCTAGCAACAGGAGCAAATGTTTCCTCAAAATAAATACCTTCCTGTTGGTTATATCCCTTTACAACCAACCTAGCCTTATTTCTTATAATTGTACCATATTCATCAAGTTTGTTTCGAAAGACCCATTTTAAACCTATGACCTTTTTATCTAGTGGCTTAGGTTCAAGATGCCATACCTAATTTCTTTTGAATTCATTAAGTTCCTCTTGCATGGCTATAATCCAGTCAGGGTCTTCTAAGGCTGCTTTATGGTTGCGAGGTTCCAAAGTAGATAGAAAAGCATTGAAGGCACAGAAGTTCCTCATTTGCGATCTAGTCTGAGTTCCTTTGCATAATTCACTAATAATTTTGTCCAGTGGGTGTGACTTTTGGTGCTTCCAAGGTTTGGGCTGGAAGGTTTGGATAGTAACTCGACTATTCTTATTTTCTGAGCCAGTTGCTTCTTCTTCAGTGATTTCCTCTTGTGTTATTGGTTCCTCGGCAGGTTCTTCAATCTGAGGTTGTTCTGTTGAAGGAACTTCAGTCAGTATGTCGAGTTCCTTCTCCGGATTTTCATGATTTTCATTTACTCGAGTTGGCTGCTTATTTGGAATTATTGCATCTTCTTCTTGTTCTTGAGAACGTACTAGACCAATTTCAAAGTCATAGTCCTCAAGTTCCTGTGTACATGGAAGTGGATTAGTTTCATCAAATATAACATGCACACTTTCCTCAACACACATAGTACGTTTATTGTAAACTCTATACTCTTTACTGTTAGTAGCATATCCAAGAAATACGGCTTCATCACTTCTTTCATCAAATTTCCCTATGTTTCTTTTACCATTATTATGCACAAAACATTTACAACCGAATGCTCTAAGATGAGATATGTTCGGTTTTCTGCCTTTTATCAGTTCATAGGGTGTCTTATTTAATATAGGCCTTAGCATGACATGATTTATAATATAACAGGCTGTATTCACGGCTTCTGCCCGGAAGTTCCTTGGAAGATCGCTGGCTATTAACATGGTTCGAGCCATGTCTTCTAAGGTTCTGTTCTTCCTTTCCACAACTCCATTTTGCTGTGGAGTTCTTGGAGCTGAGAAATTATGACTTAATCCTTGTTCCCTGCATAAATCATCAAATTTAAAATTCTCAAATTCAGTGCCATGATCGGATCTAAGGTGTATCAGTTGATGACCTGTGGAATTTTGAATTCTCCTGGAAAATGTAACAAACTCGTCAAAGTCTCATCCTTACTAGACATAAAAATAACCCATGTAAATCTAGAATAATCATCAACAATTACTAAGACGTACTTTTTTCCACTTCTACTTTGAATTCTCATAGAACCACATAAATCCATATGAATTAACTCTAAGGGTTTCGTGGAACTCACCATCTTCTTGGATTTAAAGGATGTCCTGACCTGCTTTCCTTTCACACAAGCGTCACAAATTTTGTCACATAGGAACTTGATTGAAGGAAGTCCCTCTACCAAGTTCCTTGTTCTTAACTTATCAATCAAAGAGAAACTTGCATGACCAAAACGTTTATGCCACAGTAAAGGATCATCCTCAATGACACTGAGGCAAGTTAAGTTGTTCCTCGGAACTGTATTGAGATCCACTGTATAAGTGTTTCCTTTCCGATTTCCTTCCAGCAAAACTTTCCCAGTGTCATTCTGAATGATGCTACATTTTTCAGAATCAAAACTTATAGAGTTTCCTTTATCACAAAATTGTGATATGCTTAATAAGCTGTGTTTGAGGCCCTCGACTAAAAAAACATTATCAATAGCTTGGGAACTTGACCTTCCAACTTTTCCTATGGCAACAATGCTGCCTTTCTTGTTATCACCAAAGGTCACTGTTCCTCCTGTATAGGCCGTCAGTGAGAGAAATCTTGATTTATCTCCTGTCATGTGCTTGGAACAACCACTATCGAGGTACCATTAGTTGTTCCCTCTCACTACGACCTGCAAAAGAAACTAAGGGTTAGATTCAGGAACCCCATCTTTCATGGGTTCCTTTGTTGATACAGCAAACTCATTTTTCTTTTGCCATACATAAGCTATATTTTTAGTGGACTTAAGTTCCTTTCTTTTGCAATCAGTATCTTTGTGTCCTGACTTGCCACAGAAGGAACACACAGTCTCATTAGGGAGTTCCACGTACTTTTTCTTTTTACCACTGTTCTTCTTTTTGTGGTTGAAACCCAAACCCTCTGTCCTTCTGGTTTGAGCTTCAGATATCCACTTTGGAACTCCCATGTGGATTGCACTTTTGTTGTTTCTAGCTCTTTCTAAATCCTTTTCAAGGGATTCATTTTTGTCTTTAGTAACCTGCAATTCTTTTTTCAAATTTTCAAGATCATCATTAAAGGTTACTAAAGGCAATTAAAGAGTATTATTAGAATCAATGTTAGTGCATAACAATTTATACTGAGTCAATTCAACATTTAACATGATATTTTCATTTTTGACTCTTTCCAATGTTTCCTTTAGCATAGAGTTTCTATCTAGCAAATCAAAAAATCTTCCCTGAACATCTATTCTTGAACTATTCAAATATTTCATATGATCCTTATAGATTTCTAGAGCTTTTTCATTTTGTCCAAGTTTAAGACATATTTCTTTATATTCATCCAAAGTTTCTATGAGCAAAGAAATTATTTTGTCTTTTGACAGGGATTTCAGAAATTTAGGTTCGAGATTTACCTCCTCTAACTTTTTAGCAGACTCACTGTGTTTAGCCATCAAACACAGGTTTTCCGTCTCTTCTTCCGTGGATTCTTCTTCATCCTCGGAACTTGTGTCTCCCCACGCAGCTATCATGGCTTTCCTGTAATCAGATTTTGAAAAGTTTGGAGTATTAGATTTTCCGTGTTCCTTCATTTTGCCTTTTCCTTTTTCTGATTCCCAGAGAGGGCATTCCTTGATGAAGTGATCTGTGTTCCCACATTTGTGGCATCCTCCAGTTTCCTTGGAATATTGGTTTTTCTTGAAGTTCCTTTTCTTTTGGTCACCAAACCTTTTGTTGCGGTATAGCTTTTTTAGCTTCTTGACTAGCATGGCAGCTTCTTCCTCTCCAGATTCGGAATCCTCTTCACTTGGTTGGACAACCTTTAGAGCAATTCCTCGGCTCTTTGAACTTTCTTGGCTTTTGTTTGATAGGTGAAGCTCATGAGTTATTAAGGAACCTGCAAGTTGTTCAAGGTTGAAAGTTGTAAAGTCCTTTGATTCCTGCAAAGCTGCCACTTTGGATCTCCACCGTTCATCTTCAGGAAGACTCCTTAGAATTTTGCGTACCTGTTCATCCATAGGAATAACTCTACCAAGAGAAACTAATTCATTAGTAATATTTTTAAAACGAGTAAACATTTCTTGAATAGTTTCTTTTGAACCCATTTCAAAACGTTCATATTTAGAAAGCAGTATATCAATTTTAGAACGTTTAACTTCATGAGTTCCTTCGTGGGTTATTTCTAGTAAATCCCATATTTCTTTTGCTGTTTTACATCCCATAACACGAGTGTGTTCATCTGGCCCTAAACCCCAAACTAGGAGTTTTTTAGCAGTAGCATTAATCTCTTTCTTCTCAAAGTCGCTTCTATCGTATTCAGAAATAGGTTTAGGAATTACCTCGTTTTCTGCATTGGTCTTTGTTACCTCGTAATCTCCTACCTCGATAGCTCGCCAGACTTGATAATTCTCGGACTGTATGAACATCTCCATCCTCGTCTTCCAATAGGCGTAGTACTTCCCATTGAAGAGTGGAGGTCTTTGTGTAGAATAACCTTCAGCTAGTCTCTCGTCCTTCGACATTGTTCCTCCAGGAACTTGACTCGACAGGGCTTCCTGCTTTTCTGAGTTCCTTGCTCTGATACCAATTGATAGAACAATGTATACTACAAGAGGGGGGGTGAATTGTAGTGTATGTAGACTATGGTAAATTTTGCGGAATTAAATTTACTACTAAGAGAAAAGACACTGAGATAGGCAATGAATAAATTCACTATGTAAAAATGATTTACAATCACTAATACGTTGCCTAGACTCAAGTTCCGTGAGGAACTCAAGTTACCCAACTGTGATCCCTCAATCACAGTTTCTCACACTTTGTGATTCTACTCCGAATCACTTGTACAGTGTAAACAACTCTCTCAAGTCTCACACTTTACAACTCTCACAACCCAAACCCAATTACACAATGATTACAAGTATTTCCTAAAGAACTTAAGAGAGTAAGGATGGAAGGAACTTCTCTTTTAAACACTTTGAAACTCTATGCTCAGAATACTTAAGATTGTTTTTCCACACTTTCAAAACTTAACGTTGATCTGTTTTTATAAGGAGTTAAACCAAGCTTCCATCAAGTTCCCACTTCCCCCTTAATCCCACGTTCTCTTTGACTAAGAAGTTGGGATGTAGGCAGAGGAAATTTAGGAACATGATTTCCTTAGCTTGACTCCCAAGTTCAACGTTCTCCTTAATACTAGGAGCCAGTATTTACCAAGTCAAAAAAATCAGTTATTCAAAAAGATAATTATTTAATAAAAAAGATAATTATTTATTTATTAATTAAAAGATAAATAATTAATTAATTTAAACTTATATTTTTAAATTAATGAATTATTTATTTATTTATAAAATCTTTTTCAAAACTGATTTTTATCACTTCCTTAAATTAAGGGATATGAAAACTGTTTTAAAACTTTCGTTTAAACTTTCTGAGTCAATCGTCAAGTTCCTTTTCAGGTTCCTTCAGGAACTTCAGGTTCCTTCAGGAACTTCGAGTTTCTTCTTAATTCTTTCCAACACTTTTGTTTCTTAAGTTCGTACACTGAGTAACTAAGTATATAGAGTTGTGAGGACATCTTGAAAGCTTGCATTCATCATCAAGTCTTCCAAACTCTGTTGTTCCTACTCCGGAACATGTATTTGTGTACCTGAATCTTTCTGTTCAACCAAGACTCATAAACATCATTAGTCAGAGTTTGTTTTATGTAAGTCAATCATCAAAATATTAAGGTAGTCAATTCAACAGTCATTAAGCTCGATCTTCCAGGGGTTAACTCTTTTTACTTTAAGGATCGTTGTCTCCAAGGTAACGTTAGTTCTTCCCTTGTTGATTTGAAACATTTGACTTACTTAGACCTCAGCTTAAATTATTTTCATCACCAACCCATCCCCACTTTTATAGGTTCCCTTGTGAATTTGAAACACCTTAATCTTTCTTTCTCTGGATTCAAGGGAGATGTTCCCAACAATCTCGGAAATCTTTCTCGCTTGATTTCTCTTGATCTCAATTCTATTTCTCTTGTTCATCGTGTATTTACCGAGGACTATGATTTCAAGCTTAATGTAAGAAGTTTGTCATGGCTTTCACGCCTAACTTATTTGAGATTCATGAATTTGAATGGCGTAGATCTTGGTAAAGTCACTGACTGGCTCCAAATCATTAGCAACTTACCACATTTAAGGGTCCTTCACTTGGATGATTGCAACCTTCCTGCATTACCTCCACAAATACCATCATACCAAAATTCATCAACTACTCTTTCTGTTATTAGTCTTCGTCGGAACTATGTAATTGATGATTCAATATTCAAGTGGTTGTTCAACCCTTGCATATCTTGATCTCGGGGTAATTGCAACCTTCCTGCATTACCTCCACAAACCTGCATGCTCTTTCATATCTTGACCTTAGCATTAATAATTTGCAAGGTACAATTCCAAGTTCTTTTGGTAACATGAAGTCCCTTTCATATCTTTATCTCTGGATGAATCAATTAGAAAGTCCGATCCCAAATACAATTTCTAACGTAAAGCCTCTCACACATCTCCTTCTTCATGACAATAATTTTCAATTCTTGCCGAAAACACTTGGTAATCTATGTAGCTTACAAGAGCTTGCCTTGGATGGAAATAATCTTACCGAAGAGCTCCAAAGCATAATCCAAAAACTGAATGGATGTGCAAGTCATTCATTGTTGTCTCTATCTTTTAATGATAACAAAATCTGGGGTCCAATCCCTGACACAATTGACACATTTTCTTCACTCAAATATTTAATTCTTATAATTCATTAGAAGGCACTCTCTCAAGCAACCACTTTTCTAATCTTTCAAGATTAACATCGATGCATTTGTCTAACAATCCATCATTGTTGCTCAATGTCGATACTGATTGGATTCCTCCATTTCAACTGCACTCCATCGGATTAAGTTCATGTCGCTTGGGGCCAATGTTTCCAAAATGGCTTTTGAGCCAAAAAAATTATTCTTGGCTTGAAATTTCTGATGGTGGAATATCAGATAGGATTCCAAAGTCTTTTTGGATGACACTTTCGTCAAAACTTAATTATCTTGACATGTCTCACAACAAGATTTATGGGACACTTCCAGATTTGCAAATATTAGTCACCAATATTCAGAGTGAAATAGATTTGAGCTTTAACAATATTGAAGGTACTATACCATCCTTTCCAAAAAGTGTTACTTCATTGTTCTTGAATAACAACAAGTTTTCTAACCCCATTCCTTTCTTGTGCCCTAAAGACAAATTAAATCTTCAAAATCTAAACCTCTCAAATAACTTGTTGTCTGGATTACTGCCCGATTGTTGGGTGAAATTTGATCAGCTATTGTTTCTAAACTTAGAAAACAATAGATTTTCTGGTAGTATACCAGCCTCCTTTGGTTACTTGAAGAAGCTCCAGTCGTTACATTTAAGCAACAATAGATTTTTAGATGTGAGATCAGTGACAAATTGTACATCCTTAAGTAATCTCGATCTTGCTCGTTATTCATTGAGTGGTCATATACCGACTGAAATTGGGAACAATTTGAGAGGTCTTAGTTTTCTCATCTTAAAAAGTAATAATTCATTGAGTGGTCATATACCGACTGAAATTGGGAACAACCGCAAGATTTTGGATTTGCATATGAATTTAGAATCAATGACACTGGTGCGAGGATGAGATATTCAGATACCGAAACAATTATGTGGAAGAAGACGGATCAGAGCCTTAAGAGTTCTGTATTGGGATTAGCTAGCCAGATTAATAGATTTGTCTAACAATAAGCTAGAAGGAGAAATTCCCTTGGAAATTTCATCTTTGGTTGGTCTTGTTGCTTTAAACTTATCACGAAATCACTTGCATGGAAATATTACAGCGATTGGACATTTGACATCTCTTAATGCACTCGATTTGTCAAACAACCGTTTTTCTGGTGAAATTCCTACGAGCCTTGCTGATTTGAATTCTCTGGGCGTCTTGGATTTGTCCAACAACCACTTTTCCGGAAAAATTCCAACCGGTCCTCAACTCCAAACCTTTAACGCTTCGTCGTACAAGGGAAACCCAGGACTTTGTGGAATGCCACTGCCAAAATGTCCTTGGGATCAACTACCCGACAATAATCCAGGAAATAACGATAATATCAATCGTCAAGATAAGAGTGGAATCGACGACTTTCATCTGGGGTTATACATCAGCGTGGTGCTTGGATTCATTATCGGATTTTGGGGAGTTTGTGGAAGCTTAGTGCTGAAAAGATATTGGAGAATTGCCTTTTTCCGGTTCTTTGGTGACGTGAAAGACAAGCTCTATGTCATGGTTTCCGTCAACATAGCCAGGATTCGAAGGAGGCAGTGAAGCAGGTCAGTAATTCTACCCTTTCTTGATATTTCCAAATATACTTTTTTTCGCTACTTGTTAACAGCATAACCATGTGTATATAAATCATTAGGTTCTCTAAGAAAATTTAATTATTTGCTACAGGTTGTTGCTTAGACGATATACAGGTAGATCGAGACTCAAATCAGAAATCTTCAATTTGGCCACTACAAGTCGACTGCTTAAATGCCACTGTTAAAGTCACAAAATAAATTTTTATGTTTTTCCTATCCTTATCTTGCAGCAAGTTCATAATGTGTAATGTATTCATATCATATGTGCTTAATGTAGTATAAGTATTGTTGTTGTTTTAAGATGAATGTATACTTTGTGATCGTTTCATTTCTTCAATGAACAATATGTACTTCGTACAATGTACATTAAGGTTAAGCTATGGACAATTGTACTTTGCTGCTTGCTCCTTAGCATAAGTTGGGCTACTATGAAACCAGCACAAGCCCAAGAAAATGGACTGACAAATAAAGCCCGAATCCAAATCTACTACATAACCAAATAACGTACCCCGATCCGGACCTCGTTACGGTGGCAAGCCCAAATGGTAATGGAAACTTCTCGGTTGGGAACCTAGTGGTGTTGGACGGCCCAATCTATGATGGTCCAGAGCCCAACTCAACTATGGTGCATATATTGGGCACGTTTACGTCGGCTAGCCAGTCAGACCTTGGGCTAGTAATTGTACTTAACCATGTGTTCACCAATGGGCCTTACAAAGGGAGCACTCTAACTATGGCGGGCTTGGGCTTCCCGGCATTTCAAGTCCGGGAGTTACCGATTGTTGGCGGGTCGGGTGTGTTTAGCCTGGCCCGTGGATTCGAGTTGAGCCGAAGCTTTCAGTACCAGATTGATGAGAATACCACAGCTCCTAGAGTTGAGTTTCAGCTTAATGTTTACTTATAACATCATGTACCTTACAACACTTTGTTGTAATAAAAACTTCCTGGTGTAATAAACTTTGTTTCAAGAAGAGGAAATCAGTATAATTTACATTTTCATCTTGGCTTATTACTTTATTACCACAACTTCATTCAAAGAGGTATACAAGGTAGAGGTTCAAATCCAATGTAAGTGTACCCGTAACTAAATAATCAAAACTGACTTGAATCAAACCCGCCCCCAAATATGATAACATTTATGCTTCAAGCCTTCAATCATTAGCATGGACTATGACAAAAGCTAAATTGACCCTAAACCAAACCAAATGACTAATTAAAGAAAGATGTATTGAACTGTCTTGTTGTCCAAAATTGAACTCAATCCAAACAACCGTATATATCCTCTATTCATACATCTCTTCTACCCGGTATTACAAAACATAGACGGTAGAACTTGCCAAGTGAATAGTTGTACTACTTTAGTATACTAGATCGAGTAGGAGAGTAGGAGTACATGTTTGCCCAATTCCCCATATTCAAAGCCGTTGTAACCCACGAAAAAGAACAAGAAAACGGACAAGAAAAAACAGCATGCTAATACTTTATCATCCCATATTATATAATAACTCAAATTTTACAAACAACCTCAATCAAATATAGTTCAAATTATACATTAATTATTACTAAACAAAACCCATCAATAAGTCAAAAGATGGAGAATCATCAATAATAAAAATAAATACTACTACTATATAAATATAAATACAAAAATCAACATTTATTTTTTTTTTTCTTTGATTCATAATTACCTCCTAACCAATAATTAAAAACTATAATTAGGCTTAAACAATTTATCCCTCAAAGCAGCAAACCTTGATTTCTTCTTAACACTTTCATCAACCACACCTTGTTCCTCCTCTCCCTTATCACTTCCATCCCCTTCTCCATCATCAAAAGCAGGATGACTCAAAATACAACTCAATAGTTGTGTTCCTCTTAGGGCATTTGTCAACGGCAAATGCCCTTCAGGAGGAACAGCAACATCGTTATTACTATTACTATTACTATTACTATTACTATTATTAGCCGAGTCTGTATTGTTAGACTCGGCTTTATTATCAACATTAAGCTCCCATAAAAACTCATTAGGAAACGCCCTATAATTAAACTGCTCAATTTCGGTATCAAGCTTCTTCATCCACCCAACCTTAATAAAAAACCTAGTAAAATCCTTATCGACCTTCAACCATATCTTCCTCTGAACACTATACCCAAACCGGTTATTGCTAAACTTCTTCCAAAGCTCATCAATAGCCTGAAGATCATCTTTCGGTATGAACTGAACTTCCGAAAAGAAAACATATCCACGTTTAACTGCAGCTTCACCGGCAAGCACGATGATGAGACGGCGAGTCTCATCATCAGCTTGACGGAAGTCACCTGAGGCGAGATGGCGTTGGAGGGTGTCTAAGGAAAAGGCGGTATCGGGTGAAGTGGTAGGGGTGTTAGTGGTAGTGGCCGCGGTAGAGGTAGTGAATGGTAATGTGATCATGTGGGAGTGTAGGGAGATAGTAGTGAGGTGGGGGTGTTTGAAGGAAGTGGTGGAAGAGGAAGGGAGGGAGGAGTAGTCTAAGGAGTGGCGCCGAGCACAACGTGTCGTCGTGCTCGGCCCCGAGTAGTGGTAAGATTGGTGGTGGTGAATAGAGGCCATAAGAGGAGATTGAGTGGTAGTAGTGAATGAAGGAAGGGGGGGTGGTGGTGAGAAAAATGACAAGTATGAAAAAAGAAAGAAGGGAGGGAAATAGAGATATAAGGTTAGGACAAGTAGGAAATAAGGGGAGGTTGATCCAAGAGGATAGAAAGAATGATTTTGATTGGTTAGAAAAGGGTGAGGGTGGGATTTTCTCTTTACTTTATCATTTTCTTATTTGCTTTTATTATGCTATCATATGCTGGAGATTTTGTTGTTTTTTGGGAAAATTTAATTGTTAAAAATTTTAATATAGAGAGGAAAATTTGTGGGTGATATGAAATGCAATAATGAGGGATGGTGACAAGTGATGGATTAAATTTAGAGAATTGGGGGTGTGAAAAGTGTAAAACATGCAACTTTGGCATATAACAAATGCTGAGGAAAGAGAGATTTGTGCAAATTTTAGGAAGAAAAATTGTAGTACGAATTATACTTGTATATGATGAAAAACTTTGTAATTATGGTTTGGATAAAACAGCTTTTAAATAATTTTTTAAAATGGAAAGTGTACTTTATTAACTAATTAAGTAAGGTTTGTTTCAATTTGAACTATGATCTATGAACAAGTGTTTGATGCCATTGATGGTCTTTTAATCGTGCAAATTAAAGTATAATGACTATAATCTGATAATTAGGCTTGGTTTAGAAGAGAACTAGCTTCGCTGGCGTAACGGATTTGGACCATGCGTCTGTCCCTCAAAACAGTTAAACCCACGAGTTAATTGTTTTCGATTTATAGTACATAGTTGAGGGCTACCAAATGCCCCGTCGAAAAATAGGCCACACGATGAGACTTAAACTAACGTGTAAGAAACTAACGTGTAATTCAAAAGCAAGTAAGAAAACAACATGAAATTCGAAAGCAAGTAGATCTTATAATTGAACCAGTACAATCAATCTCAAAATGTAGAACAGTTAATCTAATGATTAAGAAAGATTTAATGGTTTTTTTTTTTAATAAAAATGCTTAATTGATAGCTAATTAACTACTGTGTAGTTGCACTGCATAAAATAGAGAATATAACATCATGGTATGCATTGGATTTCTGAATTATGAATTTAACAAATGGATTTAATACCCTATATATTGAAATACAGAAAGAACAGTCCAACATAGATAGAAGACAAGCTTTTCTTCACAATCTACATAGCTTAAGTCAAGAACGAACATCCCTAGAGAGTTCTGAACCGGAAACGCACCAGCCACCCTCAAGTGTATGTGTGTCATTACTCAATACGAGCCTTAACATTAAACCTTTTACTTATGTGCTTCATGACCATATCAGTGTTAATACGACTCATCCTAGGATATGATCTTGAAGTAGCAAGTCTACTCAAGCTTGCCAGACTCATCGACTTGTACAACTCTACTAGTGCACTGTTAGTTTTTACCACTGGACTATGAGTGAACACAAGCATAACACAACTCATAAGCAAACTGAGTTACTACCTTGTGCTTCATGGCATTAAGGTCCAATGTCCATGTAGGACACACTCTAACTAAGGTCCGATTTTCCTGTCAACCAAGCAAGCCCAAGAATGAATTCACTGCGGTCACTAATTACGGTCACAAACTGGTGAAATCAAATATGCAGATGAATATAAGGAGAGTATGAGAGGAAATGAACTAACACTGTAACACAACTGAAAACTGAAAATCCTTGAATATCACTTTATAATTATGTAGCAATCTTTCCACAGCCTAATTTCTTGAGTTATATACAATTCTAAACCCGCCTCTAACTACAACGGTGAAATAACTCAAACCATGTTACTTGCATGCATCCAATTTGTGAAGCGACATATTCCACAGATAATCAAAGAATAAATGATAAAACCAGCTAACCAAGACTAAGTAAGCAAAACCCTCCTAATGCCCCAGGTTCAATAAGCCACTGATGGAAATCAAATGTCACCAGCCATTCCGGGCCTGAAATGTTGAAATTTTAAAAGGCAAATTTGAAGTTAGAGAAAAATCACAGATTTAGGGCAGTGAGATTGTATTAACAATACTTCCATTTCCACACCTAGGACTAAAATCCTGAAAAGAAAAGGGGAAAAAAAAAAGGCCTCTAATTACTAATTAGCATGTAGCCAATCACATTGCAGAACACTGACCAGAGGACCCCAAATAACCCCATTGGTGTGTAACCCAAGAAAATCCAACTACTTTGCATATAAAGAGGCACAAATCAGTCGGGCCATGAAGATACATAAATGAAAGAGATTATGGTGTGTTCTATTCACCTGTTTTTTACTTATCTAAACTTATTAGCCCTTATTATAATTTATTTTAGTTATAAATAAACTTGGTAGCCCTGATTAACCCTTATCACAACTTATCTGAACTTATTTTTCCTGAACTTATTTTATCTGAACGTATTAACCCTTATCTGAACTTATTAACCCTGAAATAAGTGGAAATAAGGTGAACAGAACAGGGCCTTACCAGAACATGGAATTAAACAAGTCATCACTAGGCACAGGGACAAAGCCTTCTTGTATGCTGATGCAAACCATCACAAGTGAACATCGTCTGTGATTTTGTGTATAAGCATGCTCCCGGGTACTGGATAAAGAAAAAAAGTAATCATAACCTTGATTTAGTTTCAGGTAATCTTTCACTACAGATCAATTAAAAGGGAAAATTCGCAACCCTGAACTTCAGAAATAAATCATCCAGTTTCAACATGTCACTATGGAAATGCAATCATCTTCATGCTACTACCATTTAAACCCAAATTGCAGTCTAAAAAATCAACCATAGAACAATGACTCATGAAAAATCCACTAATTATTAGCTGAGAAAATGACATCGATACACCATGTAAGCTAGCAAGGATGGGAAGGATAAGAATGAAGCACACATCAGGATTTCTCTACGATATAGATGTTTAAAGACTAAAGCACATGAACACACACAATCAAAGAGCCCAACTATATTCAATCCTCTTATATCCATCTTTCAATTATCTATTAATCTTTGGAGAAAAACCTACATAAGTCCAGGCTTTCAGTCTATGATAGTGTTTTTAAATTTCGCCTAAGTGGACATGTGTATCAGCAATATGGCAGGCCTGTTTAGTGTGGTTACCAAAAACATTAACCAACAGGCAATCCGGTCAATTATTATGTTTCTTCCTATCATTGCATTTTTTCTTATTTTTACTTTTCTATTTCAATTTCAGTTGCATTTGAGGTTGACAGTGAATACAGGACCAATTGAACTGGTTGCTGAGCTGTATGTATCTACCAATGCTAAAGGATTATGTCACTCCAATTGAAATTATTATACTTACTTAAAGAGAAATGATAAGAAAACAAAATGCCACACTTAATTCCAAAATCCAGAAAAAACTCAAAAAAGTCCATTTTTTTTTACCCTTTATCAGCAGTTCAATAAAGAGAGAGTAGGGTGTAAATAGTATATACCAATTGCTTAGGTGCACCATCGCTAACTTCTGCTGGCTGATCTGGCCCCATGCTTGCTAAACACCCTCCTTTGCAGTTCATGTATTTCTGCATACTACCATCACAGACAGCACAATATATATACAATTACTGAAAGAGATATAAAGCATCAAAAAAAAAAAGCTGTGCAGCACATGATGACCATCACATATTCACATTTACTAAATTTCATTAAACTGAACTGTACTGCTCTGAGCATTTTGGAGCTCATCTGTGCTTACTGGAAATTATCTTAACTTATTTTGGTTGTTAATTGAATATAGGTAGGCCTTAAAAAACTTATAAACAGCTTATCTGAACTTATTAAAAAAAAAAAAAGAATTTCGAGCTTTCTAAGCAAAAGGAGGTTTTCCCCATTAAAGTTTATTTTCCCTTTAAATAGCATGTTATATGAAGAATTAGTCATGTTTGCTGGTGAGTGAAAATAAATGCAAACATGAATAAATAAATACAATAAATTAATAATTTTTAAAAAAAATAAGGCAGGATACTCCTATTCAGCAAAGGTAAAAAGGAAACAATGAGCTACTTGATCAGTGAAACAAAGCATTTGGTGGACAGAGAAACAATAAGTGTCTTGCAAATGTTGCAGTCTTGCATTAAGAAACAAATAATTTAATGTTATAGCTTACATTTCACATTGGTTGAGCACCAAAAGCCTGCTAGGAACACACGACTTCCCACTCAACTTGCAAACAGAGTTACATGATTCACCCTGCCTGTCCCACCACAAATTACACCAAATCAACTTCCATTGATAAACCAATAGAAGTAATTAAAAAAAATGTATAATCAGATCATAAGCTTCACACCTTCCAACAACAATGCTAATGCCAGCTAGTCTTGATTCCATCAGTGTATCAGAGGATCCTGTTTCACAGAAAAATGTGGTGATAAAGTCAGAAAGCTATGGACAAATACTTAATTGCAGAGGATCATGGGGAAAGGAAACAAAATTGAATAAGGAAAATAATCCGCAGAGTTCTTTACGGAATTAACACAGACACATAGGTAAGTGATAATGTGAAGTTAATACGTTGGATAAAATTAGCAAAAAGTACAGTTAATTACAGGTCAGAGGCCAATGAAGAATTCAACAAGCGTTTCTAATAAACTTAAGCCAATGTGAAAGAGTGTTTGTCAAAATGCTGCAGCTGACCTGAGGTATTTGATGGCAAAGAAAAGCAGTGGTGGAAATCACTCAAGTAAGCATTTTCGTGTACCTGAAAATCAGTGACCAGTCAACTTATATAATTAATCAAGGCATGAAATTAAACTCAATATAAGTTCCAAATCCAAACATAAAAACGACACTGAATTTAGCTTCAGCTTGCATTTTGCCTAAGATCTCTAGAGTCTAGAACCGTTTTTGCTGAATTCTATTGGGGAGAAAAGACCTAAGTCAAACCTTGACAGTTGAAAGCGCATATAATAGTAATTTATGGTAAGATACAGTAATTTTATTATAGTAATTTCCCCTATGACAAGGAGAAAGAATCATGGCAATGCAGCTACCTACATGAACAACTGAATCAACACAACCATACTCCACAAAAAGCAAGTTTAAGATTAGCACGGAACCCGGTCAATGTTCCAATTGATAAATAGGGAATTAAAAAGAAAAACAATACATACCACACTCTCAGAATTGTGACGGCACCTCCCAGCACAGAAATCAAAAACGGAATTGTAAGTACCTGCAGAAGTGGCACGTTGCCGCACATAGCATACAATTATCATCCTAACAGGTAGCACAAAGATGCAATTTGGCAAGTTGAAAGTACAAAATAACCTTGGCCTCATAGAGACATAGAGCAATTGTTTTGTCTACGGAGTATTTTCTTTGGTGCATATGTAACAGACTTTACTTCTATATTAATAAGATACCACAAGATGGAGGCAACACCCATGTATAAACAAGGTTACAGCAAGCACTACAGGATTCGATGGCTAAGAAGTAACAGAGGAGCTTTAAATTTTAGATTGTCTACCTGCATTTGCTGCCTTGGCTATCTTCACCTTTACTGCCAGTTCTTTTTGAGTCTGATGATACAAAAAGAACAGATGAGCATGACCAGAAAATTGTCCAAGGTTCCACTAAAGATAAAAAGGGGAAAAGATAATACCTGCAACGGATTCAGGCAGCATGAAACACAAAATTCATACGAGTTGCAGCATTGTGAAATCAGGTTGCACCCTCTGTGCAAAAAAGGTCAAGAGCAAGCTATTTTTTTTCAAATAATAACCAATCACCACTTGTCATAAATTCATAAATCGGTAAGAATATAACTCACTGACAAGAGTATTGTCCTGTTTTTTGGGGGCAACAGCGTGACTCGGGATCCACTGATAGAGCATCACAGACATAGCCTATAATGCAGTAAAAATAATGAGCAGGTTTCCAGGAAAGAGAAACACGATATTTTAGTTTTTTATAATGGGAAAGAAACACAATATTGAAGGTGACAAGAAACAAAAACCAAAGAAAACTGATAAAATAACTTTAAGTCATACGTGAGAATAAGAGATTGCCCCATTTCCCACAGATATATGATTATTCTTTTCTAGATGAGTGGTAAAAATTTCCTTATGGGTTAGTCACCTAATCTCATATGTTAGACTACAAGCTTAAATTTAAAAAAATCAAATGTAGAAAAAGGAACTTGCTATCCCCTAAAAAAACAGTGACAAGCCAGATAACCTCCAAAGAGCAACAATTAACAAAAATGACTTCGTATAAGATAATTAAGAACATCACTTGTGTTAATTCTGTACATAACATATGATAGTTCTGACCGAGAATCAATTTTGCATAATCAATCTGCAGCAAAGTACTAAAAGGCTCCAGCAAATTAGGTCAAAGAAATAGGTCCTCATTACTCCCACTAAAATAAATGCCATCGCCACATGTTCCTTGTACGGATGCGATAAACTCATAAACCTAGAAACATAGATTGCACCTTTCAAATCACTACTAGCAGTCTGACTCATATCTCATATCAGCATCCCTTCCTCAACCAATGCCTCTCATATGTAAGCATAACTTCTTTTTAAGATGAAGAATTTGATAGAATATTGCTGGACACCAGAACATTCTCATTCTCAAATGGCACAAAGGTCAATAGAGCAAATTAGCCCATCCCATTTTACATCTAGCATATTTTATGTTCAGCGGAACAGGTGTGCTTACATAGTTTCCTTCTTAGTCTAGTCCAATAAACTTGCATATTAATGAATACTAATGACAAGTAGAAGTATGATTTCATTACTTTTGGGGGACAGTCACATACCATTGTCATCCGCTAATAAATATCTTCCTTGAACTGTATTTCTGCATGCATGAAGTTGAAGACCTACATCCCTCCTACAGGGAAAGTACACCACAAAAATTGAGTGAGTTTGACTTCAACGTATGCTAACAGAATAAGTATATTAAAATATCTTATCCTTGTCGACAGGTACATCCACGCATATTCATGTGACCAGCCAACCAACAAGACCAACACCATGAGTACCAAAAGAAGTATTAAGTTATTCCTAAATTATGACTCTGGCCACTGGCCAGTCAAGCATATTTCATCAAAATTAATGCTCGTTACTACACAAGCCCTAATAATACGTATATAATACAGTCAAAAGATGTTACATCATCGGAATAAATGTCCTAGCTCGTATGTCTAACTAAGCATCAATCAAGTGATGTACTTCAAAACTAACAGATAAAGACAGCAAATGCCTCGTCTAACCTAAATCTTGATCATATCTAATCTCTAGAGCTTTAGGAAGGGATAATTGGAGTTCTGACACTAAATGAAATTATAAAACTATTGGCGTGCTTGAAATCCCTCATTTAGAATAAAGAAAAGAAAGGGCTACTGCATCCTTGTTTGATAGCCCCAAAACATGGGCAACAGATAGCTTCTGACATTTACTGCCTCTAAAGAGTCTAAATTACCAAATCAAGACAATCAAATCAACCAACTACGCCTCTTCAACTCTTAGTTAGTTCCAACTAAAAATAGCATTCCAGCCATTTACAAACTACGAGAATAATATGTACAGCCAAACTCCTATTAAGTTTTCCCGTTCCTCACAACCCTGAAGCCTACTTTAAAGCAACCATCAATTAGTTCATGGACAGGAACATATGGGCACTGAGTGGCTCTATACTTTACCACACTGTTCCTTGCAGAATTGCCTCTTTCTGCATGCATCTTTAATCTGCATGCTCTATACTCCATCATACTACTATGTCATGAGGAGATAACACTTACTATACGCACAAAGACAGAATATCTCTCCTGGTATTACACAAGTTCTCATTTCTCAAGCCACCAAATTTCTCACAAAAACAATAGTTAATGAATCACACTGCGAAAGAAACCTCTTTGGTTGCAATTAAGCTACTCATTTTCATAATGACTAATGAGTGTTAGCTGTTAGGTAATTTGCTTCATTGATTAATAGTTAACATTCTAAAAAGATAATAATCTTGTAATTTTCTTTTTTGAAAAAAAGTCTTTCTTACAACAACAATCAAAGCCTTACAAAAATAACTAAATTTCCTTAATTTACACTATAATCAGCAGAAGAAGAAAAAAAAAAAAAAAAAAAAAAAAAAAAAAAAAAAAAAACCATTTTTAGAGTCACATGATAAATGCATTACATTAACCTAAAGAGTAGTGAAGATTGTTTATGCTAAGTTAAAATTTTGGGGGTGGTGCCCGAGGCCTCGGATCAAATCCCGTCTACATCACGACCCTTTGTATCCCTGTAATGAAGCTTGGGAGGACTGGAGAAGCATAAGCTTCAAGACATGATTTTTACACATAGAAATTCAACTACATAAATAACTCTCACCTATTATTCAAAATACTAAACAAATTATCATATCATCGTTAATCAATAAGATATGATCAATTTATTTACTCTAATTACTGGAACAACCAACCAATTCTTAGCCTCAAATTCTAAAAACTACAGATTTAACATTCAAAGCAAAACCCAATTGATGAAACCACAAATTTGCAAAATTGTAAATTAAGGGTAAACAGTAAACCTGATTGCTGATGCAGTGGGTGAGATATGAATCAAGAAAAAATTGAAGAAGAACCACTTCAAAATATTCAACTCCGGCATCCTCCCGTCGCCGGAGATCTTTCTTCAGGTTTTAATTGCATCCAAGCTTGCATTTTTTTTGTTTTACCAAGTTGTCCCACGCAATTAGGTAATCTTTTTTTCAAAAATAACCTAAAAGTAAACAAAATGGTTGCCCACAACCATTATGGTTATCACTAGGGATGCTAATTGAGTTGAGCAACTTCTGAGCAACTCATACTCGACTCGGTCAACGCTCGGTCAAAACTCGACTCGAGATAGCTCAACTCAAATTTGACTCGACTCGAAATGTTAACGAGCACGAGTTGAGCAAACTTAAACTCGACTCGATAAGCTCGTGAGCAACTCGATAATGTATTATTAATATAAAATTTACAAACAAAGTTAGTATGTTTAAGCAAATTTGACACTTATTAAGTCTTAATTTATATCATAAGTAAAGAAAGAGTAAATCTTCAATAATATCTGTATATAATATGGAAAACAATATAAATTGAACAAATAAATAAAGGCATACAATAATAGAAGGACAAAAATTCTAACGAGCAGATCGTGAGCTACTCGACTCGACTCAAAACTTTAACGAGCACGAGTCGAGCAGGTTTTATTTACTCGAAACTTTAGCGAGCACGAGTTGAGCACACGTAAAAAGTTTTCGAGTTGAGTCGAGCACCCCTCAGCTTGTGATCGACTCGCTCGATAAGCACCCATAGTTATCACTTATTTAATTAATTTCTCTATATTCCACCTCATTTATAACCACTCTTATACCCACTTAATAATTGACTATGGTTACACATCTTATCTCTCTTACTTTTACCCAACCCCACCACACAATCTCCCTCTTTCACTCAATGACCAAGCAAATTGGCCTACTACTTCACTCAATAACCAAGCTTTATAACCTGGTTATTTCCACAACCAGATTATTGCTTTTTATTCCCAAAAATTTCTCTCTTCATTTTTTAATTATTTTTTCACATTCTCCCTCCCAATAACCATCCTAAATGGTTAACGGTTGGCTATGCTTAAGGCCCCGTAAAAAAAATAAAAAATAAATAAATAAACTAAGGCCTTGTTCTGTTTACCTTCTTTCGGTTTTCTAAGTTATGCCCCTAAATTTCTTCGGTTTCTAAATTGTACCCATTAGGGATGTTAAAAAATAATCGACCCGACTGTCCCGGCAAATACCCGATGGGAATTTTAGGAAAAAAAATTGTTTTTTCGGGTCGGGTACCCAACCCCCCTTCTATCCGGGTCGGGACATGGATCGGATTTTTTCAGAAACGGGTACCCGATTACCCGAATTAAAAATAAAAAATAAAAAAATCCCCCTCAAACTCCTCATTGTAGGTAGTACCGTAGTAAGGCAATTAGGGCTTTATACAACCTAACACTAACAGCCGTCACTCTCCCCTTCCCCTTCTCTTAACTCTCTCTCCTCTCTTCTCTCTCCCCTCTTTCATCTCTTTCCTTAACTCACAATCACACACTCCCACAACAAGCCTTTTATCAACCAAGTGAATCGATGTCATTGAACCACACAAGGGGTCTTCGACTCTTCGGTCCCACCGCAGCGGAACGACGGACAATTGCATGAGAGATCTCCACCGCAGCGGAACAATGGACAACCACACGAGAGATTCCCACTGCAGCGGCAACCGCGCGAGTTTGAGTACAAATTGCCAAGTTGTTCATTTGGGAATGATAATGGTGTTTGAGTGTTTCACTGTTCTCCTCTATTTTATCTTTGATATTTTGTATTTGCAATTGTTATTTCCCCTCAATTTCTTTCAATTCCTGGGTTGAATATTGATTACTTTCAATTCGTGTGTTAGAAGCATTTTTGTTATTGATTTTAGTTGCAGCATACTACTAGAAATGAGCCAAATACCGATGGCCAAAATTCATCGGTAAAAGTATAAAAAACCATCGGTATTCAATTTACCGATGGCCGCCATCGGTATTTGGCCATCGGATGACAATTTATCGGTAAAAACGAAAATACCGATGGTTTTACCGATAGCCAAAAACCATCGGATTTTTTTAAAATACCGATAGCTTAAGCCATCGGGATCGGTATTTGGCCATCGGATGACAATTTATCGGTAAAAACGAAAATACCGATGGTTTTACCGATGGCCAAAAACCATCGGATTTTTTTAAAATATCGATAGCTTAAGCCATCGGGATATTTTACCGATGGCAAAAACCCATCGGTATTTTCGATTTTCCGATGGGAAAAACCATCGGTATTATTTTTAAAAAAATTAAAAAAAATAATACACCCCCTACCCACCCACTGCCCATACCCCCTACCCCTACCATACATCCCAAACTGCCTACACCACCACCCAAAACCATCTACCACCACCTCAAACACCAACAGACAATCATGACCACCCTCCGCCCTGGTAAAACATGCAAATCAACCCAGAAAACAAAAAACAACGAAAATCAAGAAAATAACCAAAATCAAACAATTAAATGAAAAACAACAAAAATCAAGAATAATAACCAAAATCAAACCACATAATGCAAATCAAGAAAAATAGCCAAAATTAACCCACATACCAAAAACCAAACCAACTAAAAAAGCGAAATCAACCCACAAAATCAAAGTATTAAACCTACTAAATAACTCAAACAACCCACAAAATCAAATAAAAAAAAAAATCAACACAAAATCAAACAAAAACGAACATACCTTTAATTTTATGGCCAAAATTCCTCTACTTAAGGTTTAAATGGTCATATTCGCCCATAAAAACTCCAGATCTGGAGTTTTTGTAGACGAATTTGACCAAAAAGACCATAATGTCGCCGAATTCGCACGAAATTCATCAACAATGACCAATAAAATCCACGAAGACCATGAGAAAAATAAACCGGAGGTGAGAAAAGAGGACGAAATCGAGAAAGAGAAGAGAAAGATAAAGAAGAAGACAGGAGAGAGAGGAGTAGGTGTGTGAGGGAGAAGGCGTATGAGAGAGGAGAGGAGAGGAGAGAAGATAGAAAGAGGCGTAGGAGAGAAAAATAGAGAAGAAAGAGAAAAGGGGAAAGGGGAGGGCCCGGATTAGGGTTAATCTAGTTTTTTAATTTTGTAAAAAAAAAAAAATTTAAAGAACCGCTTAAAGCCATCGGTAAAATACCATCGGTAAATTTTTTTACCGATGGCTTTTAACCATCGGAAAATAATTTTAATTTTCTTTTATAAAAATAAGATTTACCGATGGATAAAAGCCATAGGAAAAAATATACCGATGGTCAGGCCATCGGTATTTTGAGAAATTCCGATTGATTGAAAAAACCATCGGTAAATTATTTTTTTACCGATGACCATCAGTATTTCCCATCGGTAATTGAGCTTTTTCTAGTAGTGTATTAAACTTCTTGTATTTTAAGTTTTTTTTTTCTTTATTAAAAATAAACTTTCTTTATTTTAAGTTTTTTTTTTTATTTGGGTACCCATCAACCTGTCCGGGTACCCGAATTTCTCGGGTCGGGACATGGGTCGAGTGATTGACTACCCGAAAATCCGGGTACCCGCATTTTCGGGTACCCGAATTTGAATACCCCTAGTACCCATGCTTGTTAACAGTAACTTTTGACGTTTACAGTAACCTTTTTTATTATATTATTTACTGATTTTTTTTAAGTATTAAACCAATTAGAATGGGACATGTGTCAATTTAATAACGCTACCATTGTTGATAAATAACTTAACTTTCGTTAACGAATATGACTGTCAAAGGGTATTGTTGATAAAATATCATGAGGTGGAGGGCACAACTTATAACTTTGAGAAAAGCATGGGTACATCTTAGAAACGAAAGATCTAGGGGGCATACCTTAGAAAAACCCAATAAGATTTAATAAGGGCTAATAAGTTCAGATAAGTAAAAATCAGGTGAATAGAACGCACCCTAAATGCAGGCTGTCATTTACAAAAGTGTGGTGGTTTGAAAACTTATTTACACTTTTACATCTAGATAAAACTTATATACGGAATTATTGTCCATGTAGGCTCGAATAAGTTTATTTTTTTCATAAATAAATTAGCGGTTTGTCTGTAAAAAAAATTATGCCAAACTACGTGGACTACATTTTGTAAATTAGTTTTATTCCAACACAGAATTGTTAAAAAAAAACTTTTTAAAAGCCACGCTTTTGTAAATCATCCAAATATTAGACACGGATTAACATCAACTAATTCTTTATGCGGAGTATACATTGGTTTAAAAACTATTTTTCACATGTCACAATACTATCCACAGTCAACAGGGTTGGCCCTTATCATGTACAGGCAGTGCAGCTCGAGCAGCTGCACATAGACCAAAATCTAATGAGGCCCAAATTAGTATAAATGGTTATATACTTTGTAGTGCATTACAACATTTATAATATTGTTTAGCTCAATGGTTACGTGCTTGTCATTGTTACTAGTGGTTCAAGGTTCGATTCTTAGGAGAATTTTTTTTTTTTTTTTAAGCATTCACTGTTAGTTTTGTAGTGTGATACGAAGTAAAAACTTAATTGTATACATACATTCACGACTCTAAAGCCCTGTTATGTTCACCTTATTTCTAGGTTATTAAATTTAGATAAGGGTTAATAAGTTTAGATAAGATAAGTTCAGGAAAAATAAGTTCAAATAAGTTATAATAAGTGTTAATCAGGGTTACCCAAGTTTAATTTATAACTAAAATAAGTTTTAAGGGCTAATAATGTAATCCCCCGTATTTTTAAATATATTATAAATGAAATTATATTTTATTTATAATATTTATTTGTATTTTTCCGGAATTTAATTTCAAAAGTTTCAAATTATTTTGGGTGGAAAATTATTTTTATTACAATATGATTTTTATGAACCATCATTCTATAATTTATGTCCAACAAACAAACCTAACCCACTTTACTTACTTGATTGGCCCATTAATTTTTGAGGCTCAATCTTATAAATTGCCCTACACCACTCTCTCTCCTATAAATACCTCATACATCCCCAAAATTTTTCCCACACAAAAAAGGTTAGTATTATATTTTCCTTTCTTTTCTTTCTTTTTTTTTTCTTTTCTCCTTTCCTACGTGAGAATGGCTCACCATTCTTCCTTGCTGCCGCCCAGCCACCTTCGGCGCACCCCCCTGCCGCCGCCGCCACCTGGTCGCCGGCGACCACCCAGCCGGCGCCTGCCACCGCACCACCTTCCCCCCTTCTTCTTCCTTTGTTTTCTTAATTTTGCTTAATGTTCATATAATTAGTTTTGGATTTTGATTTTATAGTATAAAGTTTATATTTTTAGT